GGGGATCGCAGCGTGGATGTGGGTCAGGCTTCTCCCGCGCCTCTCTCTCACTCTGGATGTCAAGTGTCAGAGGCAGTGGATGGATCCGGTTTGATAAGTTCTGTTCTGTCTGGCCACGTGTCAGGACAGGATCAACCATTCAGCAGAAAAACCGTGTTCTTTGCCCAATTTTAGCTCTTTTTAAGGATTGATATTCTGGGGTCACTTTTTCATCATATTTTTGGCCAAGTTATTTCAGATTTCGTACCTAAACTATGTATGTAAAAAACAGCTAAACCACTAAAATAATAATAATAATGCATCAGTTTTATATAGCGCTTTTTTGGACACTCAAAGACGCTTCACATGTGTCATTATTCATTCACTCCAAACACGGTGGTGAAAAACTACTACTGTAGCCACAGCTGCCCTGGGGCACACTGACAGAAGTGAGGCAACCAGTATGCGCCAACGGCCCCTCCTTCTAGGCAATGGGGGTAAGTAAGTAAGTAAGTAAGTAAGTTTTTATTTATATACCGCCTTTTCACTGCAGATCTGAGTCTCAAAGCGGTTTACAATTGTTAATTTTGGGCATTTGTCTCTCACTCCACACAGAGATGGGAGCGGGGTCGCCAGTACAGGAGGCGCATGCCAGAACTATTGGACATATTTTTAGTGGTAGGGGAAACCGGAGTACCCGGAGGAAACCTACGCAGACACGGGGAGAACATGCAAACTCCACTCAGAAAGGCCCTGGTCCGACCGGGATTCGAACCCAGGACCTTCTTGCTGAGAGGCGAGAGTGCTATCCACTCAGCCACCGTGCCGCCCGTGAAGTGTCTTGCCTAAGGACACAACGGCAGTTTGGCACTTTACAGCCGCAGCCGCCCCACTGTGGCTGGTGTTCCCAGAGGTTAAGTGTCTTGCCCAAGGACACAACGACAGTAGTCAGTGGGAGTCGATGGTGAAAGTCTTGAGCGGGGCTTGAACCCACGACCTTCTGGCCGCCCTACTGCACTGTCAAAACATACATATTAAAGGTGTATTGCGCAACTTTTCTGATTTCGTCTGCTGCATGCTGGTTGGAGATGTTTTTTCACCTCTCTAGAGATATGACTTGTAACTTAGCCAAGTGAAGTCACTCAAGATATAGATGTGGTGTCATCAACTTAGACGATTACCAGTAAGATTCGCTGGAGGAGAATAGTTGGGCAAATGGTGAGGATAAGAATTAATTTTGTCCAACCCTTTTTAAAATGTAAGTAACTGAGATTCACTGTAGTTTTTTGTACAATAATGGCTTTATTGACCGCCTGTATTTCCCACAGGCCAAAGTATGACACACAATAAACGTACTTTTGTTTGTCTTTTTAATTAATTGGTGAGAATGTTACCAGTTCAGTAAAACATTTTTCTAACTTGGTTTTTACAGACTTGTTTTGGTCAGTACTGGCGTTTTTAAAGAAAGTATTCCCACAGTAAAAGTTGGCAACTCGGCCGTCACTCACACTAAAGTCTTGGAAGTGATTTGCTCGGCTCCATCAGACTAATGACTACACTTTTACACTATCAGTACATTTCGCAGCCACACGCCTCAAACTTGTTGTCGGTTTCCACCCGCGGGCTCCGACTCGCCCCTCCTCAGCTGAAAAATTAAGCACACAAACTGAACTCCTCCCAGAGCTGTTGCCCCCTCACTGTGTACACAAGACTTCACAGCCGCCGCATCTCCTCCGAGTATTTAACTGCAATAAATAATCATGCTAAATAATGAATGTCAATTAATAGTAGGAGACGTGGCCTTGATATCGTTTGATGAAGAGGTTTCTCTGGGATGTGCGCTACAGTCAGATTCAGCCAATCAGCTCAGTCGGAGACGAATTATCCCGTCCCCTTGGACCTCGCTGTGGACATTTTTGTTATGATCTTGTCTTGTTCTGGAGCAGCCCAATACAACTCGCACAAATGCTGATTATAAGCTCAGAACGGTTCACTAAGAGACATGAATACTTTTTTTCCTTTGGGGAGATAGTATATTTAATTATTTATTACAAAATGGTTTGTTTATCTATTAGTAAAAAAAAATTCCGATGTGTTTCCTCCTTTTTAAGTAGATTTTGGAGAATAAAGAATTTGGAACAAAACTTTCAAGGTGAAGAAAATTTAAGTGTAAAGGTGCTATTGCTAGAATCCACTGTTTTTTTATTTTATTTTTTTATGTACGTACTACAAGCTCTGACAACAAGCAGTTGTCAGAGCTCAGTCGAAGTAGAGCTGCTGCTTCTCCATCTCGAGAGGAGCCAGTTGAGGTGTAAGTAATCTTTATTTATATACCGCCTTTTCACTGCAGATCTGAGTCTCAAAGCGGTTTACAATTGTTAATTATGGGCATTTGTCTCTCACTCCACACAGAGATGGGAGCGGGGCCAGTACAGGAGGCGCATGCCAGACATGCCCATTGAACATATTTTTAGTGGTAGGGGAAACCGGAGTACCTGGAGGAAACCTACGCAGACACGGGGAGAACATGCAAACTCCACTCAGAAAGGCCCTTGTCCAACCGGGATTCGAACCCAGGACCTTCTTGCTGAGAGGCGAGAGTGCTATCCACTCAGCCACTAGTAAGTCTAGTAAGTTTCTCTGCAAAGGTGTTCTGGGCATGTCCCGTCGGGAGGAGACCGGGGGAAGACCCAGGACAAGCTAGCAGGACTATGTCTCTCAGCTGGACCGGGATTCCCCCAGATGAGCTGGAGGAAGTCTGTGTGGTTAGGGATTTCTGGGCATCTGCTCAACCTGCTGCCCCCACGACCCTGTCACGGATGAAGCGGGGAAAAAATGGATGGATGCATAATGTTAGTACTAAAGAATGAAAACATTTGGTTTCTAATACTCTAAGACATTTAATGGTTTTATAAATTGCATCCATAAAGTCCAGCTGTTAAAATCCTAACCGCTCCATTGAATCTTAAAGTAGCATTTTCCAAGGAACAAAAAAGGCACAGCGCTTGATTTGATTTCATGTATTGTTGGCGTTGCCGACAGGATGTCTCGGGCACTCTGCATGTTCGGCCCCCCCCCACAGCGCCCTGTCAACATTGTCTCATATTTACGGCCCTGGCTCCAGACCAAGGGGCCAGTTGTGACCTGCTGAGTCGAAGCTGCTGCAGGTCTGTTGGCTGGACGTCCCGTGAGCGTGACGACCGAGGCTTTACAGAGCACACAGCCTCTGCTCCGCTGATAAATGGCCACAACATGGGCTATTCATCTCCCGCTTAGAGAAGTGGACAGTGGACACCGCACACCCCTGCCGTGCCCCTCCTCACTCTTCCCCATGTCAGCAAATGTGATAATTCTTCCATTTGTCAGGAGCAGTGGAGGGTGTGCGCCAGTGTTTGTGTGCGTTTTGGAAAGATGACACACTTCACCACCTTCACTTTTCTTTTTTTTTTCCCTCCCTGCTTTTCTTTTTTTCTGCTTGTCGAGTTTGTTCACGTCGCTGTGGGGAGAAAAGATTTAAATGCACAAAGGAGTGAGTGGTTTTTATGGCGAATTCCATTAGTAATTTAGCAATTTTATTAGCTCCAGGAAAGTAGTGAGCCACTTTTTCCACTTTATTGTGCAAATAAAGTTTTAGGGTCTGTCTGCCGGTTGTGTGCTGCCGGTGGGTCACAGCAGCAGTTGCATGTGTGAACTCTGATGGGTGTTTTTGGCTGAAGAAAGAAGCTGTACTCAATCACTGGACTAGTTTGGATGTGTGCACAGAGTAAGACGCTGAGTTAGTGCTGGAACATGATGTAATTTACAGCCCTTCATAGTGAAAACTTCTGAGGTGGACTGTACTTATTAAAGTTTATTATGGCATTATTTCTGCACTGTGTAAATGACCACCTACCATATTGTATTCAAAAGACCAGCCAGTAGATATGACTCAAACATGTAACTATACAAAACCCATTAGCATGCTAACAAGACCAGTATGTAACAAGCACTGTTACAATCCAACTGTTGTGGCCAGAATGTTCCTGCCTGTGACACATTGCTCCAAAATACACTGATTACAAATGCAATCCACCTGCTGGAGTTTAGCTATAAACTCCGTGTGTTGCATAGGACTTTGTATCTTTTGTATCTGCTTTCATTTAAGCAAATTGTGCTTATTTTGATAGGAAAAAAAATCAAAGAGCCAAAAACAGCTAAATTTCACTTAAACTGGCAACCCAAATTCTGTTTTCTGATTGGATCATCGTAAAAATGTGTGTTGTGTCCATTATATTTGTAATTAAGAGTAACTCCAGTTTAAACTGTTAATCAGAAAAGGCCAAATATTAATTTTACATATGACCTATTATCTGGGGACACATAAATGAGATGCAAATGTTATTTAAAGTGATATAAAGATAAGATAAAAGATACATTTCTATTAACAAAAGAATCCATGATGTAACTTTTGACAGGTATTATTAAATTATATGAATACCCTGTGCTTTGGTGTGTATTCATCCATCAAAATGAAACGGGCTCCTGTGGCTGTTCCGAACTTCAGCAGACGTCTTAAAACTAAAACTCTGCATCTTTAAAAGTATACGTCAGTTAGTAAGTAAGTAAGTAAGCTTTATTTATACAGCGCCTTTCACAGACCAAGGCCACAAAGCGCTTCACAGTTTAAACAGGTAAAAACAGACAAAATACAATTAAAAATGTGCGTATACAAAAGATAATACAAAATATACAGTCAATATAATGGCCAAGACAACTCAGTGACAGGTTTAAAACAGCCGCAAGAAAATTATGTAAAAGCTTGCCCAAATAAATAGGTTTTTAGCTGACCTTTTGAATGAATCAACCGATTACAGACGATTTCATTAAGTCGAGCTCTCTTCCCGTTGGTCTAAATATTTTCCTCCACAAATCCTACCAGGGGTGTTTTTTGCCAAAAGGATTCACTCATGACTCTAACCCTAACACACAAAAGTTCAGATACGAATCCTCTCTGACCTCCCTTTTCCTCTGTGTCTCTTCAGGATCATCCAGAACCGAGTCTTGGTCTTCATCCTGGGAGCCATCATCGTCCTCATCATCATCTTGGCTATATATTTCAACGTGAGAGGCCACTGATCTCCCGTCTCAGGCACACACACACACACACACACACACTCCACCCCCATCTCCTTATACAAACACAACACACACTAAAGTGATTAATAGCGACAAACCCGTTGTACGGCCGTAATTGGGACAAATGTTCCTCATGAATCACTGTTTCCAAACGCTGACAGGGAGCCCTTTTTCCCAATCTGCATTTTCTCTTTTGCCGTTCCTTTTATTCCAATTCCCTCTCAACTCTTTCACTTTTGTGTTCTCTGTCAGACTCTCCCGGGACGCGAGATGTTTTATGATACTAAATATTTTTCACGCCGTTGTCTTTTAGTGCGCTTTCGTGTCCCTCGGCGCCCGGAGCCGGGGAGAGATTTTGTAACAGCCGTTTCAAATGTATAGATTTTTCACCCCCTTTTTTTGTTCTTTTTTTCTCCTCCCCACTGGCTCCGGTGTTGGGATAAACTGGGAAAAGGGCTGAGGCTGAAGCGTTTTGCACATGTAGGTGTAGCAAGAGGATATAAAAAAACAAAAACAAAATGATACAGCTGTTTCTGCAGAGGTCCACGCACAGAGCAGAGGAACAGAAATAAAAACGTCAGAGAGCGAAGGCCCGGGTCATATCTGTGTTCAAGAAATGTTTACAAACTCTCAAAAGTCTCACAGGATTCAACTTTAGCCACACCGCATTAGTTCCCGACCCTTCAATTATCAGAGATTGCGACTAAGTCATTCAGGCCCTAATTAACCATTACTTTTTTAATTGATTAGTTTGCCGATTTTTCTACCGATTAATTGATTAGCTGTTCTCAAAGATTAAAGTTAAATCGATTCTACCCAAGAAGTTCTTCATAGAGACTAGATGTAACATAATTGGTTTGTTTGATTTGAAACTAGGACAACACAGTGGCTGAGTGGTTAGCATTCTTATCCAGACCGGGCCTTACTAAGTGCAGTTTTCATGTTCTGCATAAGTCTGCATAAGTTTCCTCCGGGTGCTCCGGGGGAAACTTATGCACCCATTTATAAAAGCTCCCGTCTCTCTGGGCCAAAGAGATTTACAGCTCTGTCATAAAACCGTTTCGTAGCATGTTTTGTTCCAGGTACGAAAACCCAATATTATTATTACTAAATGAATTGACGACTGCTTATTAGTTGCAATTTAGCGATTAGCCAGTTACAGCCCTGATCCACGCTCAAAACACAATTATTTTTAACATTCTTTCACGGCTTGATTCTAAACTTAACTCGTAGATGCGTCCTCACAATGTGGAAAAATGAGGTTTTTATTTCAACCGCACACCACACTAACATGGACTTTCTCCGTCTGTAATGGAACCATAGCCTCTTACTGTATGTACATCATGGGTAGTGTCTCTTAGCAACGCTTTTGTTAGTATTTATTTATGAGCGAGACATTTCTATTACCGATTCTGTAAAAAACTGTTGTTGGACGTTTATTTTTTGCTTTTGAAATCTTTCACTGACGTATCTGAAGGACCAAACAATGCAAGCGTGACTATTTTCTGTCAATGACTCTGTTCTTAACTTGAGCTTTTAAACACGTACTTCTGTTCTTGTATATGTGTACATTTGCAGACCATGTGACGAATGTGTTAAAAAGACAAATGAAAAAAATCACACTGCTTTTTTGGTTTTTGTTCTCAACATTGCCACACGTTTCTTTACCGTAGAAGCAGAGTCGGGTCGGCCTGTGCCCCCAATGTGCTTCCCATAGAGGCCATTTGTAATTCTGTTTCAGGGACCAGAGATGTAGGGTTTTGGGGGCGCAGCAGACATGTAGCACCCCCCGCCTCCTCAGCGCTCCCCACATTTCACCAGCCACACTGCGTCTTCAAAGACTCGCATTAATGGCCTACAAAGTGTGCTTCTGACTGTCCCGCGACATGAGAAAGTGTAATGAAGGAACCGGGATGGAAGCGGATAATGCGAGAAGGTCTATGGGTGGATTGAAGGTTTTTTTTTAGTTTTAGTGCACACAGATGTTACTAGTTTATCCACTGGAAAAGGCTGGGGTTCACTTAAATTCATGGGTTGAAATAATGCAATGTCCGGCAACTGCAAATGGCCAAAAAAGTCAATTAATAAGTAAAGTATAAGAAACTAATGAGGTTGAAGCAGTTTTAATTTCAAAATCACATTTATTTCTGTGTTTGTGTGCATATGATGTACCGGTATATATCACATTATGGGGACTGTGCATAGTAATACTAATATGTGTTGTTATTAGCAGTAGATGGCGGTTAATTAATATCAAAGTGCACTTCTATGTCCCCATAAGTAAAGTTTCTTCCTTCAAAGCTTCAGCAGTCGGTCGATGGATGGATGGATCTCACACGGGGAAGTTCAAGTGCCCACCAGTAGCTTATACAGACAACAGAGACAGTGGACGTACGAATCATAATTAATTTAACACACCCTGGTATTGTATATTACTCTATGTACCGCACAGTAAGTCATCTTTTTACAGACCAAGGTCACCCAAAGTGTTTTACAATGTACCAGAGTTCAGATATTGTTCCATTCTCTCAGTCACGGTGATGACGGAAGCGAGACGCCGAACGCACTGGTATCAAAGCCCCCGATCAACACCAACCATTCCCTCACTCAGTACATTCAGACCTACTATGCATGTTTCAGTGGTAGGGTAAAACGGAGCACCTGGAGGAAACCTAAGCAGACACGGGGAGGACATACCCCCTCAATGGATGAAAATTAGCTTGTTGCTATGCCTGGTCTGAACAATACATTTATTATGCAAAGTCCCTGTCAATAAAAAAAAAATCTTATCAGAAAGACCCTGTTCCAACCGGGTTTCTAACTGAGGACCTGTATAAGTGTAAACATATGTGAAATTGTGTTCTGCAGGTTTGAAATTAATCTAACTAACTGACATTTAACCCACAATTACTTGAGAAAACACAGCCATACAAAGGGAGAACACGCCCCCTCCCGCCTGCGGGTCAAACCCAGAGACAAGGGTCCACACCGCTGTGCCGCTTTAAGGTTCGACTCGGAATCAGACTGTAAAGAAGTGCATCGGAAGTCAATGTAAAACGTCTCCACAAAGCATTGAAACCCAACATGTGTGTGTACCTAGCTCGTCCTCCCTCCTCCTGCCACCTTTCCTCCCTCTCCCCCCCTCTCCCCTCCTCCCCCCTCAGCCTGTCAGATGCGCGGAGCGGTGGAAGGCAGCGTGGCGGCGGCTTCCTATTTGAAGTTGTAATGGTGTCAAAAAGTCAGGGCTGACTGACAGACGTCATTCCCACAGGGCCTCATTAAAAACACAGCCACTTGACAAGGAAATAATTGCTCGCTGGCGACAACTCGCAGAGCACCCTCCGCGTTTTTACATGTTTTTATTTTCCCTTTCATTATTAGCGCCGGGCTATTATGTTCATTAAGAGACGCCGTTAAGACAAGTTTTTAAAAGCGAGACGGGCGAGGGAGGGGCGGGGTTAGCGGGCCGCGCGGAGGTGCACATAACGATTTGTTTTGTCACATGATGAATTGTCATGGCTCTCTTTTTTTCACCTGTTCTCTCCATCTTGTCGGGATATGAACTGGATTATTCATCATTGCCCCCAACCCAAACCACGCCACCCTCCGTTCGCTGATTTGGTTTTCAACAAGCGTCTCGGCTCGGGATGAAAACTTGTCAAAAATAGGTTATATCTTATTCCGAAAGGGCAACAATAGCAGCAGGTACAGACACCTTTTAATATTTAATTTAGAGGGGTGCTAACCTTTCTTAAGTGACTGCAGATCCGTCTCCCTTATAGACACGGGATGGAGGAAAAAAACCAAAGCGGGGGACAATTCATGATTTTGATGTTTCAGGAGTGATGTCGGAAAACGCCGTCTCTTTGGGGGATCCTGGTTAATTTGCAACGACCATTTCATCAGCGCTAAAAGCTTAATACTCACTGCTCATTGTACATTTAAACCATAATTCAATCGTATAACAACAAATGTCATAGATGGGCCACAACGCAAAAAGTGATACAGAAATTGCTCAAACTTGGCAAAAAGTATCCAAATTTGAGCACTTTTTGACTGCCTTAAAACCAGATTTGCCGCAGGAACAAGCCAAATAATCTTGTTTTAAAAAGATGGAATGATAAATTAAAGCAATAGTTCTTGAGATACGACTCAATGGCTTTGTCCCATTCTCAATTCTGGTTTAACACAGTCCAAATATACTCAAATTACGACAAAAACCACTCGATTACAGCAATTATCCCCTCATTTTTTATCATTTTTGGCATTTTTTTGTGTATTTCAAACCTCCATATATCAATAATGTACTGTATCTATCTATCTACATGCACACACACACGCACACACCATAGTACCAAAGCCTACACTACAATGCCTCTGTATGTGTCAACTACAATGCCTCTTGTGGCGTATCTAAACGTATGGAGCAGTAGGAACGTGCCGAGAAAGAGGAGCCATGTTCTGTTTGTACACGCAGGCAGCTCCGGCAGAATGGAGGTCTTTCTCTGCTCCGGCCTTTATCTCGCCTCTCGCCCCCATCAGCGCTGCCCGGCGGTTTATTAGCATTTGTCCACACATGAACTACAATGAGGCTGTTATTAGAGACTGTGTGAGACTGCGTAGAAAGTGCAGCCCGTAATCGTATCAAGATTATGGAGATAGAAGGGTTTGGTTTTGTTCTGATTGGGCGAATTTATCACCACATGCGATCTTTCTTATGTAATGGACTGCTCTTAATTCTTTATATTACATTAGGTATATTTTTTTTACAATGCAGCAAACAATAAATTCATCATTCTAGTGGTATTTTAATTAATCATTAAACAACCACCAGAATTACAGTCCAAACAAGTGAGCCTTTAGTTTATGCCTTTTTGAGCCTTTTTTGACTGAAACTAAAACGAACCTAAACTCTGCTGCCTTAATCAACAGTCATAGTCATTCTCATTAATGTGTGTTCATAAAGAAAATCAAACAAGCACAAAAAGTATTTCTAATCTTCTCAGGTTGTTTTGACCAATGCGGTGATATTGGGTAAATTTGCCAAGGTACAACTCATGGACCACGGCCCACAGGTTGAAAAACACTGAGGCATTTACAGGAACTTTCAATTTCTGGATTCTGGACTCTTAAGATGGTCGTAGTCTGAGCCACAAATAAACCAGAAATATGGAAGCGCCAGTTTGTGAAGACTTTTCAGGGTTTTAAAGTCTATTGGTTCCTGAATGTGTTGCCAGATCTGTGAATATTTATGTAAATGAGCTCTTTTTAAAGTCAGAATCATGAGCGAGCCGCAGTTGTTGGATTGGTTTAGGGGTTCTGTGACAATAGTTGAATCCACTACAGATGTTAGCACAATAATTTCATAATTTTTAGTCCTCACTTCATTTTTAACTTCACTGATCCACAAACAAAGGCTGTTTTTTGTATTTTAAAAGTCAACGAAGTTAACAAAAAAAGATGCAACAATCTCTGGTGGAAAACATGGTGCAATTAAAAACAAAAACATTAGCATTAGCCAAAACTAGCGACAAACGGTTATAGATGTTTGAATATCAAGCTCTGCCACATACTGCAGATATATAAAGAGGTTTGTAGCTGGTATAAATGTTTGCTGTCTCCTAATTCAGTTATTTTAATGTGATTTTGTGCTGTTGCGCAGACCGTCCCCTTCTGTTCTTTGTTCTTGGATATATTCTCGTTACCGGCAAACAGTAATTAGCTCATATTAATATTAATCACAACTTTAATGTATTTTAATTACACTGAAGCAGCTGTTTAATCTTACACTGGTCCAGGCCTGAGCTGTCACTCCTCTCTCTCCTCCTCTCTCCTCTCATCTCTCTCCATACTCTCTCCTCTCACTCCTCTCACTCCTCTCTCTCCTCCTCTCTCCTCTCATCTCTCTCCTCTGTCTACTCTCTCCCCCTCTCTCCTCTCATCTCTCTCCATACTCTCTCCTCTCATCTCTCTCCTCTGTCTACTCTCTCCTCCTCTTTCCTCTCATCTCTCTCCTCTCTCTCCTCTCATCTCTCTCCATACTCTCTCCTCTCACTCCTCTCTCTCTCCTCCTCTCTCCTCTCATCTCTCTCCATACTCTCTCCTCTCACTCCTCTCTCCTCTCATCTCTCTCTCCCCTGTCCTCTCTCTCCTCTCTCTCTCCTCTCTTCTTTCCTCTCTCCCCTGTCCTCTCCTCTCTCTCTCCAGTCTTTCCTCTCCTCTCTTCCCTTCTCTCTCCTATCTCCTCTACTCTCTCCCCTCTACTCTCTCCTGCCTCTCCTCTCTCTCCCCTCACTCCTCTCTCTCTCCTCTCTCTCTCCCCTTCTTCCTCCCTTCTCTCTACTCTCTCCCGCCTCTCCTCTCCTCTCTCTCTCTCCTCTCTCTCTCTCCCCTTCTTTCTCCCTTCTCTCTACTCTCTCCCGCCTCTCCTCTCTCTCTCTCCTCTCTCTCTCCCCTTCTTTCTCCCTTCTCTCTACTCTCTCCCGCCTCTCCTCTCCTCTCTCTCTCTCCTCTCTCTCTCTCCCCTTCTTTCTCCCTTCTCTCTACTCTCTCTCCCGCCTCTCCTCTCTCTCTCCTCTCTCTCTCCCCTTCTTTCTCCCTTCTCTCTACTCTCTCCCGCCTCTCCTCTTCTCTCCTCTCTCTCTCTCTCTCTCCTCTCTCTCTCCCCTTCATCCTTCCTTCTCTCTACTCTCTCCCCTCTACTCTCTCCTGCCTCTCCTCTTCTCTCCCCTCACTCCTCTCTCTCTCCTCTCTCTCTCCCCTTCTTCCTCCCTTCTCTCTACTCTCTCCCGCCTCTCCTCTCCTCTCTCTCTCTCCTCTCTCTCTCCCCTTCTTTCTCCCTTCTCTCTACTCTCTCCCGCCTCTCCTCTCCTCTCTCTCTCCCCTTCTTTCTCCCTTCTCTCTACTCTCTCCCGCCTCTCCTCTCTCTCTCCCCTCTCTCTCTCCTCTTCTTTCTCCCTTCTCTCTACTCTCTCCTCCCTCTCCTCTCCTCTCTCTCTCTCTCTCTCTCTCTCTCTCTCCCCTTCTTTCTCCCTTCTCTCTACTCTCTCCCGCCTCTCCTCTCTCTCTCTCTCTCCTCTCTCTCCCCTTCTTCCTCCCTTCTCTCTACCTCTCTCCCCTCTCTCCTCTCTCTCTCTCTCTCCTCTTCTCTCTCTCCTCTCTCTCTCCCCTTCTTCCTCCCTTCTCTCTACTCTCTCTCCCACCTCTCTCTCTCCTCTCCTCTCTCTCTCTCCTCTCTCTGTCCCCTTCTTTCTCCCTTCTCTCTACTCTCTCCCGCTCTCCTCTCCTCTCCTCTCTCTCTCTCTCTCTCTCTGTCCCCTTCTTTCTCCCTTCTCTCTACTCTCTCCCGCCTCTCCTCTCCTCTCCTCTCTCTCTCTCCCCTCTCTCTCCCCTTCTTTCTCCCTTCTCTCTACTCTCTCTCCCGCCTCTCCTCTCCTCTCTCTCTCTCTCTCTCTCTCTCCCCTTCTTCCTCCCTTCTCTCTACTCTCTCCCGCCTCTCCTCTCCTCTCCTCTCTCTCTCTCCTCTCTCTCCCCTTCTTCCTCCCTTCTCTCTACTCTCTCCCGCCTCTCCTCTCCTCTCCTCTCTCTCTCTCTCCTCTCTCTGTCCCCTTCTTTCTCCCTTCTCTCTACTCTCTCCCGCCTCTCCTCTCTCTCTCTCCTCTCTCTCTCTCCCTCTCTCTCCCCTTCTCTTCTCCTCTCTCTCTACTCTCTCCCGCCTCTCTCTCTCTCTCTCTCTCTCTCTCTCTCCCCCTTCTTTCTCCCTTCTCTCTACTCTCTCCCGCCTCTCCTCTCTCTCTCTCTCTCTCTCTCTCTCCCTCTCTCTCCCTCTCTCTCTCTCCCCTCTCTTCTCTCCTCTCTCTCTCTCTCTCTCCCCTTCTTCCTCCCTTCTCTCTACTCTCTCCCTCTCTCCTCTCCTGCCTCTCCTCTTCTCTCTCTCCTCTCTCTGTCCCCTTCTTCCTCCCTTCTCTCTACTCTCTCCCGCCTCTCCTCTCCTCTCTCTCCTCCCCCATCCCCATCTTCCTCCATCACTCTCCCAGAAGAATACTGCCACAGCCTTTGAACTCAAATTAACACTTTACCACTACAAAGACATACAGTTGTAAGCAGCAGAATCATTTGCATCATAATGAACCGGCCACATATCTGTCTCCAGCTTTTAATTTGCCTGCCCTTTTTAGACTAAATACACCTTAACCTTTTTTAACTTTGCTTTTCCTGGGAGCGTTT